TGGGAGAAATAAGTGGACAAATACAGAGATTCCAGTGATAATTGTATTGATTTGTAATACATTTAAAAAAAACTGTTTCAATATAAAACAAAACTATTTTTTTAATTAAAAAAATAACTCTCAATCTTAGTTTATTATTTCTATCCTGTTATCTGTTTATGTTAAAGATAACATAAACAAAATAGATAAAAGACATTTCTTTTTTTTTTTTTGAAATATTATAAAATAATTTTAGAATACTTTGATACTTTTCTTCTTTTAAAAAATTATATTTTATTTCTTTGTAAAATACTAACATCATATTAAAACTAACTTAAATGTCATCAACCTTTACACTTTTGCATGCCAGTAATTAAGCCTAAACAGTTTTGAATAATAATAAGATAATACATAGTATAGTAAATAATAAGATAATATAAGATAATATAAGAACAATAGTTTTAATCTTTCTAACAATAATATAACCATAATTAATATTGTATCTTAATTAATCTTAATTAATATTGGAATAAATGAACTTTCGATTGCTAATTTCCAACACTTTCTTGTTTGCTTTTACTTTAGGAAAACAAAAAAACAAAAAAACAAAATTTTTTGAAAGTTTTATGATGACAATAACATAATAAAAGTTTTATTAAGTTAGTTATTTATAAACTTCAATGTAATAATGTTTAAATAATCCATAACAAATGCAAACTACTTAATAAACTAATTTTTTTAAATAATAAATAATTTTAATTATTAAATATATATCTTTATTAATATATTAATAAGTATATTACTGTATCTTTAAAGTAAATTAAAATGATTTAAATTATAATAGAGCTGTATTTACATATATTATTTATAAATAAAACTACATTTTTTTCACTAAATAAATTTATATTAAATATACTAAATATATAAATATTATACTAAATAAATAAATTTCATGCTAAATGCAATCATCAGGTGTAAATATGTTTTTTTTTCTCATGAAAAAATAATAAATATATACAAAAGAAATTAAGTTAAAAAAAATCTAATCTTTTGGTTTGTGGTTGTTCAGCAAAAACTTGTTCTCATGGCGACATTTAGATATTAGTTTTTTTTTTTTTTTGTTTAATAATTCTTGAGGATTTTTATACAATAAAATAATTAGCTTTTTGTATAAGCATAACAGGTATTTTTGGTTATGTTGTTGTAGGCGGGGGCATTTTTTATGATGGACCATTTTAAATTAGGTGTTGTTTTTGATTTATTTTGTGTATCCCATAGATATTTTGAAAGCGTGGTTGCGTTTGTGAGTTTTTTATTTTTGAAGGATTGCTTATGATTTATTTATCTAGTTTTCCACATGCCCTTTGTTGAACCAATGTATGTTTTGTCAGGTGTGTTTGGGAATGATGCAATTCACTTATAAATTACATTTGTTTTTCTGCAATTTCCGTTCATAGAGCAGATTTTGTTTAGTTTACAATTGCAAGCTAAATTATCCTTTGGTTCATCGTAAATACATCTCTGTTTTAATTTAGATCATTTTAATTTACTTTAATTCATCAAGCACTCTCATGAAGATATATGCAAGCACTAACACGTATGCATATATATAAAACACTACTGACAAAAAGTTGGTTGAGCACTTTTTTGCATTGATCTCACACAATGGAAAAAATAAATTTTAACTACTCATTGAAAAATATTCTTGTATCAGAGAAAACTAGTTATAAGTTACACCTTGTCGAAAAGATAGAAAACTTTATCAAATGAATGCGCTGGAAAACATTTTTTTACAACAACAAAAATAACAATGACAGAAACAACCTTTGCATTTAAAACAAACAAAACACCACCACAATGCAAAGAACTTGAGCACTTAGCCAAATTATTTGCTTAAGTAAAATCAATAAAATTAAAAAAAACTTTCACTGAAATTTAAAAAAAACTAAAGAATGACATATCGAACATAAAATCAAATCCCAATATCTTGATATTTGCAGACAAAACTAGCAATATTTATGAACTACCTCCTAAAGACAACGCTAAACTTCTAAAAGAAAATATCACTAAATCATATAAAAAAGCACCATTAAACTTGAAAATGCAATAAACCTTGAAGCAAAAAGCATAGAAAAAACAATAAATATATCCAACAAATCTAAAATATTTGCTAAATCAGAAGTGTTCATCATTCTGAAAGACTATAAAATAAATTTTCAAAACATAAAACCCTGCCGCCTAATAAATCCAGCAAAGAGCGAACTTGGCATCGAAAGAAAAACCTATTTAGATAAGATTAATAAACACATAAAAAATAAATTAAAATTAAACCAGCGGAAAAATACCAAACTTGACATCACTGAATTTTACCCATCTATCACACCCACAATTCTAAAAAATGCTCTAACGTTTGCAAAACAACTTGAAAAAATTAGTGAAGAAGAAATCAGAACAATTATCCATTGCAGAAAGTCTTTGTTATTTTTCAACAACAAAATTTGGAAAAAAAAGTCAACTAACAACTGCTTCGACGTCACAAGGGTTGTTATGATGGAGCCAATGTTTGCATGCTGGTTGGTCTGTATATAATAAATTCATTATCTGAAACTGTTACCAACAGTGAAATGGGCCTTTACGGGACGACAGACTGATAATGTGTCAAAAATCTGCCGCACAGATAGATAGAATCCGAAAAAATAATATTAAAATTTTCAAAAAAATCGACTTCCAAATAGAAATTACAACAAACCTAACAAATGCTAACTTCTTAGACGTTACATTTAACCTTGAAAAAGACTCATATCATCCTTTCAAAAAACCAAATAGCAGCCTACTTTATGTCCATACTGAGTTCAACCACCCCCCACAAATTAATAAACAAATTCCGATTGCTATCAACGATAGGATATCCCAGAATTCTTCTGACAAAAAAATATTTAACTCGGCATATATGCATAAATTCATATTATATATGTGTATATATATATTTATATATATGTATTTATGTATATACATAAATTCATATATATACATAA